CGCACCACAGCACCCTTTACAAAATATGTGGGCATACACAGGAGCCAGGGCTGAGCCACCGATCTGGTTTTAAATGCCAGGATTCAGCCTAGGGCAGTGGAGGCGTTCTACCAAAGGCAGAGGGGTGCCTCAAGTAGAGCCTTGCTGGATCAGACCAGGGAGGGTCCATCTAGTCCAGCATCCTGTCTCACACAGTGGCCGGCCAGTTCCTCTGGAAGTCCAGCAACAGGGCAGAGAGGTTGAGGCCTTCCCCTGAGGTTGCCTCCTGGCTCTGGGATTCAGGAGTTAAGTGCCTCTAAATGTGGAGGCTCCTCTCAGTCACTATGGCTAGCAGCCACTGATAGACTCATTCTCCATGAATCTGTCTATGAGCCCTGCTGGATCAGACCAGGGGTCCATCTGGTCCAGCCTCCTGTCTCACATAGTGGCTGACTAATTCCTCTGGAGGGCCAACAACAGGGTACAGAGGCTCTTCTCGTGTTCTTATGAAGAAGAGTCCTGCTAGGTCAAACCAATAGTCTCTCTAGTCCAGCATCCAAGCAGTCCTCTACAGGGCCAACAACAGGGCATCTAGGCCAAGACCTTCCCCTGATGTGGCCTCCTGGCCCTGGAATTCAAAGGTCGACTGCTTCTGAGCGTGGAGGTTCCCTTCAGTCACCGTGTCTAGTAGCCACTGATCTTCTCCACAATTCTATCTAATCCCCTTTTAAAGCTGTCTATTTCTGTGGCCATCACGACCAGTGGCTCCCTCTAAGCTGTGGAGTCTTGTGAGCAAAAATCCTAACTTGGTGAGCGACTGGCCTTAAAGTTGTGAGCGGGTGATTTGGCCACTGCGTCAACTAGTTCGCTCTGGAGTCACCCTAAGCGAAGACAAAAATTTGTGCGCTGGAGGCTAAGAAACTGTAAGCTGGCCCACACTAACTCAGCTTAGAGGGAGCACTGATCGCGACATCGTCTGGCAGCAAATCCCACATTTTTAATCACGCGCTGTGATGGTGCGCAGAGTGCCTTTTCCCTGACCACTGAGTGACCACTCTAAGCGTCCGCTTGTCAGCTCTTTGGACAAAGTTATTCTGTATCCAAGGACACGTCTCCCTGAAGATGCTCGGCCTCTGCACCCACCATTTCTAGAAACCAGGGACTCCGGAGCTCCTACGGACGTGGTGATGCGAACTCTCCCTTCTCTCCCTCTGTAGGGGACAAGGAGCCTGCCGCCCACCCCAATTCCCGGTTTTGTGCTCCAGCCCGCCAGTGCCCGATTATGGATCCGGACTGGGAGTCGCCCCAGGGTGTCCCTATTGATGCCATCATCTTTGGGGGCCGGAGACCTGTAGGTAAGGCCCACCTACCTCGCGCCTCTGCTCCCAGCTTCTGCTGGCTGTGGTGCATTCGTGGGGTGACCCTTCTTGCATTTCCCAAACTGGGATGGGACAGTCTGATCTCATCAGATTTTGGAAGCTAATCAGGCCCGGTACTTTGATGGGGGACCACCAAGGAAGGCTCTGCAGAGGAAGGCCATGGCAAACCACCTCTGCTTCTCCTTTGCCTTGAAAGCCCCTTGCTGTGATCGCCATAAGTCTAAGTCAAGCGGGGCCGGTACTTGGATGGGAGACCACCAAGGAAGGCTCTGCAGAGGAAGGCCATGGCAAACCACCTCTGCTTCTCCTTTGCCTTGAAAGCCCCTTGCTGTGATCGCCATAAGTCTAAGTTAAGCGGGGCCGGTACTTTGATGGGAGACCACCAAGGAAGGCTCTGCAGAGGAAGGCCATGGCAAACCACCTCTGCTTCTCCTTTGCCTTGAAAGCCCCTTGCTGGGGTCACCATAAGTCTAAGTTAAGCGGGGCCGGTACTTTGATGGGAGACCACCAAGCAAGGCTCTGCAGAGGAAGGCAATGGCAAACCACCTCTGCTTCTCCTTTGCCTTGGAAGCCCCTTGCTGGGGTCACCATAAGTCTAAGTTAAACGGGGCCGGTACTTTGATGGGAGACCACCAAGGAAGGCTCTGCAGAGGAAGGCCATGGCAAACCACCTCTGCTTCTCACTTGCCTTGAAAGTCCCTTGCCGGGACTGCCATGAGTTGGAAGCTAAGCGGGGTCGCTGCATGGAAGGGAGACCACCAAGGAAGGCTCTGCAGAGGAAAACAATGGCAAACCACCTCTGCTTCTCACTTGCCTTGAAAGCCCCATTCTGGGCTCGCCATACATTGGCTGCAACTTGATGGCACTTTGCACACACAGTCTGCTTCGCAGGGTTGTTGTGCAGCTAAAACAGCCCTCGAAAGAAGGGTACGGTGTTGAACAATACTTCAATAATTGTATAATTGTATAACTCCATACATCTTCCCATATTATTCCCCCACACATACAGGAGTACCCTTGGTGTACGAGGCCTTCAACTGGCGCCACGGAGTCTTCGTGGGCAGCGCCATGAGATCAGAGTCCACTGCAGCAGCTGAACACAAAGGTAAGGATTCTCTGGGTTTCTTCCTCCCGGTTTGGGGGATCGCCTCTCCTCTGGAAGGCTGAACTTGTGGAAGAACCACTAATGAGAGAGGGCAGTGGGGTTGGGGAGAGATCCTTTAAGTCTGGCAGTTGATGGCTTTGGACGTTGGCAGACAGGCAGGCAGGCAGGTGGCTGTGAGGAGCACACGGGTCCAAGCAGAGGATCTAAAAGGAGAAGCAAGTCTCGGAGGAAGCATGGGGAAGCTGGCGGCAAGGCTGTGGGCCGGCCAAGTTAGTTTCTCCAGCGCTGCAAGGTCATGTTTATTTATTTATTTAGGGTATTTTAATGCCGCCTCTCCGGAGACCTGCTAAAGGCAACTTACAAAGTTAAATACGATCAGTTCGTAGAATCACCATAAAAATAATTACAGTTGACAAGTTATAAAGAACCCCACCAGAAAAACAGCACCAAACATTTAGCTGCCCGACATGATATTTGTAAAATGTGGTAGAAGCAGACTCTGAAAGCAATTAAAAGGATAAAACCCCTCCGTCAAAAGCTTGGGTCAAAAGAAAATGTGTTTTGGCCTGGTGCGCCAAGGGTAGGTGCCAGATAGCTGAACAAAGCAGAGCCCCCCAACCTTTCTGGGCCCGTAGGCACCATTAGAATTCCAACATTGGGAGGTGGGGCCACCCACAAAATGGCTGCTACAGGAGGCGGGGCCGAGCACAAAATGTCAGGCAGTGAGGTTATGCATAACTCTAATAGTCACTTTTCAACATTTCAGGCAGAAGCTCTGTGTAACAGGATGCCTTTTTAAACTGACGTCCTGTTTTTAAATACTTCCTTGCATACACACGACTTACCTTCAGTCACGCAGCAAATCCTGTGGTGCTGTGGTGGCAGCTGTTCCCAAACCTCTGCACAGCCAGTCAGAAGTCCCGATGGACGCAAGCCCCATCTGGCTCCACCCGCTTGGTGGGCACCAGGAAAGGTGTCACTGGGCCCCATAGAACCCATGGGCACCATGTTTGGGGACCCCTGGCGTAGATTTTTCAGGACAGGGACGACAAGATCCCTGTATCCAGCCCCTGGTTGTCACACTGTGGATCAACTGATGGTTGTGCACACATGCTTAATACGAATACATCTCTCTCTTTTCCGTTCTCCTCTCTCCCACTATGTACAGGCAAGGTCATCATGCACGACCCCTTTGCCATGCGTCCTTTCTTTGGCTACAACTTCGGCCGCTACCTGACACACTGGTTGAGCATGGAAGAGCGCCAAGGCGTCCGGCTCCCCAAGATCTTCCACGTCAATTGGTTCCGGAAGGATGCCGAGGGGAACTTCTTATGGCCGGGCTTCGGGGAGAACTCTCGGGTCCTTGACTGGATCTGCCGGCGCGTCAACGGAGAGGAGAGTGCCCAGGAAACGCCCATTGGGTACATCCCCAAAGATGGCGCCCTTGACCTGACAGGCCTCAAGAAAGTGGACTATCGGGAGTTGTTCTCCTTGCCCAAGGAGTTCTGGGAACAAGAAGTGCGGGAGGTGAGGCAGTACCTGACCGAGCAAGTGAACGAGGATCTGCCCAAGGAAGTGATGAAGGAACTGGCGGCCCAGGAGAAGCGCATCAATAAGATGTAAGGGACCTGGGTGGGCGGAAAGAAAAGAAATCTGACCAAAGACACATCCCTTGCATCTCCCGTGGGGAAAGGGAGGACACGACGGGGAGGTTTGTTTACAGAATTTCCCTTCCCCACCTCTTGCCAACTAGGCCTCTCTGGCCCTCAGGCGTCGGCCATCTTGTTTCCTGGGCCGCGAGGCAGCCATCTCGCTACCCTGGGCACCACGAGCCAGCTACACGGTTTCTTAGCTACGTCTAGGGCTACCAACCTCAAGGTGAGGCCTGGAGTTCTCCCACAATTACCACTGAGCTCCAGAGGGGCAGAGATCAGTCTTCCTGGGGGAAATGGTAGCTTTGGAGGGTGGACTTTGTGGCGACCCATCCCTGCCTGGCCCTCGTCCCTCCCCAAACTCTGCCCCCAAGTCTCTGTGAAGGTCCCAAGCTGGCGTTGGCAACCCTAGGCCGACATCTTCCTTTCCGTGGCTCAGTGGTTCCTTCATCAGAACGATCCTTCCATCTTGTCCTGTCTCCTCTCTTTCATTCGTGTCATTGTCTACTTCTGGGGTCTCTCTGTTCGAGTGAGTGGCTTTCTAATCTTTCACGGACTGCCTTCCCCTCAAACACAAGCCTGTCCTGTCTAAATCATTCATGGTCAGCGTGTTAGGGCCCACAAATGTAGAACCGGTTGGCTTTCTAGTTAGCTGTGATGCCGACGGAGAGGGAAGGTCCGTCATCCAGTCAAGGTCTTCAAAGTAGGCAGAATTGTCTCAACCAAATCCCAGAACTGGCTTTTAGGGATGCCAGCCTCCAGGTGGGGCCTGGGGATCCCCAGGAATTACAGCTCATCTCCAGCCTACAGAGATCAGTTCCCTTGGAGAAAATGGATGCTTAGAAGGGTGGACTCTGTAGCATTGCGCCCCACTGAGGTCCCTGCCCTCCCTAGGCCCCACCCCCAAATTTCCAGGAGTTTCCCTGCCTGGATCTGGCAACCCTACCTCCCCCATCCCCCACCGGCGGCCAAGAGAGACCTGGCAACCAGTGTTCCCTCTAAGCTGAGTGAGTGTGAGCCAGCTCACAGTTTTTTTAGCCTCCGGCTCACACATTTTTTTGTCTTAGCCCAGGAAGGATGGCTCCAGAGCAAACTCCTTTATGCAGCAGCCAAATGGCTCGCTCACAACTTTAATGTCAGTCGCTCACCAAGTAGAATTTCTCCTCACAAGACTCCACAGATTAGAGGGAACATTGCTGGCGACCCAAACTGGCTTTCTTGTCTGGTCATATAATTGAACTGACTGGCTGGTAGAAATCCACAGCTTCTAGGCCCATTTGCGAACTCTGTCAGATTGGAATGGAGTATAGGCCCACTCAGCTCCTAGTGTCTCCCTCTATTTCTTCTTAACCAGCAATTGAATGTAATGATTAAGTACTGTATGGAGGAGGCTTTCAGCAAAAATCCCAGTGCATTTAACTGTAATTCAGTCATCAGCCTTTATCAGGATTCAGAGGACCCCGTTGTGCTAACCACAGCCCATCTATGACTTCCTTTCTCTACATTGGAAACAGTTGTGCACATTCCGTGACATCACAGCATCTCAGCCAATGATACATCAGCCAATAGCCCAAGAGCTCTCATGAAATACAGGAAAGTGACAGGCGCTTTTTAGCCTCCTCCACAAAACAAAGCTGTGAGTCGCTGGAGGGATGAGTTACAACGATGCACTTACCCCCCCTAGTCTAGCCACATGGGTTTGTCAAGGGGTGCTTTGCTGATATGCTGAAGCCCCAGTTTTGGTGGCTAAGCTCAGGTTTCTGACATCCCAGCGTTCTTTAGTAGGGCCGCTGCGCACCACTGTGAGCCTGCTAATTTCCCCTCCTTTGCCAATCCTTGTATTATGTTCCTGTCGATGGATCCCAGCTGGTGGATTCCATCGTCCTGTATTTTCTAAGCCAGGGGTCCCCAACACGGTGCTCGTGGGCGCCTGCCATGTGTTTTTAGGAAGTGAGTGGGGGGGCAGTGTTCCCTCTAAGCTGAGTGAGTGTGAGCTAGCTCGCAGTGCTTTAGCTTCCGGCTGAATTGGTGGGGGGCCAGGTGGGTCTTCTGCCCAGCAAGTTTCTGACTGGCTGTTGGAGATTTGATGGGCTGTGCAGATTTTTAAAAGCATTGCTTTGGCGGCAGCGGCCACCACAGCACGAGGATCTTCACCGTGTGACTGAAGATAAACTTGTGGCAGCCATTTTGTGGCTGACTTCACCTCCGATGGCAGCCGTTTTGTGGCTGTGTCTGCGATGCTATGTAAGAATTGCAAATGTGCCCACAGGCTCCAAAAGGTTGGGGACCCCTGTTCTAAGCCCTTGTCTCAGTACAGTTTGCAGACATTTAAGAGAATTAACATATGCAAAACCTTCGAGGACTTCGTACTTTTCTCCCACCCTTCCCTCTTCCAGCAGATGTGGCAGTCTTTCAGGCTAGGATGGGACGTGAGTAAGCATCAATTTAGAGGAAAGAGGAGAAGGGGGAAATGCCAAGGACATTTTTACAATTCTATTTTCAGTAGTGGAAATGGGACCAGGATTGAGGGAGGGGTTGGAAAGAAACACAAACCGAGAGCTAAATAGTTGGCTGCAATTTAATTCAGGTTGCCTCTTTTTTAAAAAAATAAAGCCTATTTTGTTAATAACAAACATTAATGAGAATAAAAGTACGAAAAATAAAAGGATGTGAATTTTATGACGTTTTGGCACGTAGAGGTCTATCCTCTGGTACAAATGACTGGGTGCATTCACACTGGATTTAGGAAGTGTTTTGTGGTCAGATTCCTCCCATAGATCTGTGGGAACTGTAGTTGGGTGCGGGGCCTTCTCAGTGTTCTTGGGGGCTGGGGTAAGGGAAAACATGCAGTTGTTAAACCACTTCCAAGTTGGTTGCCTGAATGCATCTTAAGAGTGTTTACATAGGGAAGAAGAGGAGAAGAGTTGGATTTATACCCCGCCCTTCTCTCAGAGTGGCTTCCAATCTCCTTCCCTTCCTCTTTCCACAACAGACACCCTGTGAGGTAGGTGGGGCTGAGAGAGCTCTGACAGAAACTGCTCTTGAGAGAACAGCTCTGAGACAGCAGAGGTCACACCAGGAGCTGCATGTGGAGGATTGGGGGGAATCAAACCCGGTTTTCCCAGAGTAGAGTCCGTACCGCGACAGCAAACTGGCTCTCCTACACCAAACTGAGAGGAGCGAAGACTCATTGCCTCTGACCACACAAAGGGAGAGATGCGGAAGGAGCTCTCCAGACCCCTGTTATCTTAAAGCTCAGTTGACAGAGTATGGGGGACCTCCAATGGCTACTTGGAAGAGTGAACTGGGTTGGGGGGGTGCAGACAGGCACACAGGTAAAGCATTTGACCAATTGGGTAAGCTGCTGTTACTGGAGGTGAGACCACACTTCCTTCCGATTCACCTAGGGTTCCCAACCTCCAGTAGTACCTGGAGCTCTCCCGCTATTACAATTGATCTCCAGAGGACCAGGATCAGTTACACTGGAGAAAATGGCTGTTAAGAACATAAGAGAAGCCAATGGTGGATCAGGCCAGTGGCCTATCTAGTCCAACACTCTGTGTCACACAGTGGCCACAAATACCAGGGGCCATCAGGAGGTCCAGCAGTGGGGCCAGGACACCAGAAGCCCTCCCACTGTTGACCTCCCCCAAGCACCAAGAATACAGAGCTTCACTTGCCCCAGCCTGAGAGTTCCTATCTAGACCTTGTGGCTAATAGCCACTGATGGACCTCTGCTCCAGATGTTCATCCAGTTCCCTCTTGAAGCCGTCCATGCTTGTAGCTGCCACCAGCTCCTGTGGTAGTGAATTCCATGTGTTAATTACTCTTTGGGTGAAGAAGGACTTCCTTTTATCCATTCTAACCCGATTGCTCAGCAATTTCACTGAGTGCCCACGAGCTCTTGTATGGTGAGAGAGGAAGAAAAGTACCTCTTTCTCAACCTCTATCCCATGCTTAATCTTGTAAACCTCGATCATGTCACCCCTTAGCCATTGTTTCTCTTTTGGAGCGCAGACTCAATACCATTATACACAAACGAAGGCCCACCCCCCAAATCTCCAGGTATTTCCCTACTCAGAAATGGCAACCCTAAATTCATCTGAAGTGAACTCTGTCTCCTGCCGGAACAAATGTGGCTACTTTTTAAGGTGCCACTGGACTGCTGCTTTATTTTGCTACAGTGGACTAACACGGCTACCCCTCAAACAAAAATGCTTTTAAGGAGGGCAGATTTTTGGGCTGGAGGCTGTACGTTATGAGCCCCGAGCAACTTTCGAAGGCAGCAAGCTGGACACCAGCTCTCCTTGGCGGCTGTCTGGTGAACGGATATGCAAATCTGCCAGGGTTCTTTTTGTAGAAAAAGCCCAGCAGGAACTCATTAGCATAATAGGCCACACCCAACAGCAAAACTCATTAGCATATTAGGCCACACCCTGACAGCACCGCTCATTAGCACACTAGGCCACACCCCCATGTTACCAGAAGTGTGGTCATCCAGCCAAACCCACCTTTCCCTTCTTATTCTGTTTACCTTGTTTGTTGTCAAAACCCAGGGCTTTTTTTGTAGCAGGAACTCCTTTGCATGTTAGGCCACATACCCCTAATGCAGCCAATCCTGATGAGTTTCTGCTTTTGGCTGTGGCCTATTATGCTAATGAGTTCCTGCTGGGCGTGGCCAACTCAGGAGCCAGCCGGAACTCCGTTCCTGTGCGTTCCTGCCCAAAAATAGCCCTGCAAATCTCTAGATTGGAGGTTTGGCAACTTTAGGCTGGATGTAGCCTAATAGGGATGCTGGCCTCCAGGTGGGAAATGGGGAATCCCACGGGATTGCAGCTCACTTCAAGAGTACAGAGATCCGTTTCCCTGGAGAAAAGGGATGCTTTGGAGTGTGGACTCTGTGGCATTGGACCCCTGTCCTCCCCAGGGTCCACCTCCCAATATCCAGGAGTTTCCCAACTGGGATCTGGCAATCCATCCCCAGCTGGTGGCCAGAGAGAACCTGGCAGCCTGGGTCTTGGGTTGTAATTTCCCCATCCCTGTGTGAAATGCTCAGGATCTCCTTTGAGGAAAGTAGACATTTGCTGTGTGACCCCCCCCCCCAGTAAGCTAAGTTAGGGTTGCCAACCTCCAGGTGGGGCCTGGGGATCTCCCGCTTTTACAACTGATCTCCAGCTGACAGAGATCAGCTCCCCTGGAGAAACTGGCTGCTTTGGAGGGCGGACTCTGTGGCATTGGACCCTGCGGAGGCCCCTCCCCTCCCCAAACCCCGCCCTCTCCCGGATCCATCCCCAGAGTCTCCAGGTTTTTTCGAACCCAAACCTGGGAACCCCATGTGGAGTACATTTTAAGCCAGCCTTATTGCGAAATGCCACATTTATATAACATTGCGCATGCAAACCAAGAAAAGAGGCGTGTGCAAGATAGATAAGAGGACACGTGTGGCTGGAAGGAAATGATTTTTAATCTGTGGGAGCGCAGGGGTTTTCGAAAATCCTGTTCGCCTGGGCCCTCGGAGAGCTGCTGAGCTGTATGACAGATAAAATGGAGGTTAGTCCAAGTGCCCCCTGCCCCCTGGGGGCCTTTGTTCATACAACACAATTGGTCAAAGTCCAAAGGGTTACTCCTTATCAGAGAATCAACACTTCACAACAGACCACGGCATCGGCTTGGGGGAGAAAGCCTCATATGGAATCAAATAGGGCTTTTCGTTGTTCAGTCGCACAGTCGAGTCCGACTCTTCGCGACCCCATGGACAAGATCTCGCCAGGCCCTCCTGTTTTCCGCCGTCCTCTGAAGTTTGCCCAATTTCATGTTCGTTGCATCCATGACACTGTCTAACCATCTCATCCTTTAAATAGGGCTTAGGTAAAGGTAAAGGTTCCCTTGCTCGAAAGCCAGTCGAATCTGACTCTAGGGTTGCGGTGCTCATCTCCGTTTCAAAGCCGAAGAGCCAGCGCTGTCCGAAGACGTTTCCGTGGTCATGTGGCCGGCATGACTAAACACCAAGGCGCACGGAACGCTGTTACCTTCCCACCGAAGTGGTCCCTATTTATCTACTTGCAATTTCTTGCTTTCGAACTGCTAGGTTGGCAGGAGCTGGAGCTAGAGACAGGAGCTCACCCTGTCTTGCGGCACCCGGGTCTTGAACCGCTGAACTACCGACCTTCCACAGCCTGCAGTTCAGCGTCTTAACCACTTGAGCCACCGCAGCTTACTTCTGAGTAAAAGCACAAAGTCTTGCACTGTAAAAGTGCAGCCCTCCTACTCCCATTTACTAGGGAGTATGTCCTGCTGAGTATCCTGGGACTTGAAGGAGGAGGAGATTGGATTTATACCCCGCCCTTCACTCGGAGTCTCAGAGCTGCTTACAAACTCCTTCTGCCCTCTCCCCACAACAGACACCCTATGGGGGTAGGTGGGGCTGAGAGAGCTCTTTCCAGAACTGTCCTTGAGCTCTGACAGAACGATGGCTTGCCCAAGGTCATCCAGCAGCTGCAAGTGGAGGAGTGGGGAATCAAACCCGGTTCTCCCAGATTAGAGTCCACACACTTAACCACGACACCGAACTGGCTCATTCCTTAGCCACACCTCCATTTATTTCCGACTCCAAGTAAGGATCCTAGATTCCAGCTGCACTGCTGTAACGTGTGGATGCAGGTCTTGGTGGTTTGGGGACTTAAGAGATGGCGGGTAAAGTGTACCCCAGTTTGGTGGCAGTCGAAAGAGAAGAGGCTGGAACTGCGCCCAGCGCTCTGACATTGTTTTGCACTCGCAAATAGATACGTGTTTCCAGAGCCCGGAAAGCCCACCTTAGTAATGTCAATCACTTTGCCAATGTCCAATCAGAAAGCAATTAGTGCCTGGAGATTTAGGAACCGCCCCGCTTCCAGAGATGTCAATCATCCAGCTCCGAGCGCCCCTTTAACTGAGGTTACGCAACTGTACCATAGGGGGTGGTGACTGTACAGAGGACATCAAGATAACAATAACCAATCAGAGAGGGACTCTGAAGTAATCGCGCCCGCCTTTCGGGCCGATTGTCCAATCGGTGACTCCTTAGCCTATCACCTGGTTTGTTCGATGAACGAGGCAGGTGCAGTTGTGGCCCCGCCTCTGCGAGTGAGGCCAATCCAAAGAGCCGTTACGGTTTTAAAGCCCCACGCTCTCCCACGTGGGGGGGGGAAAGATATTATTAGCCAATCGAGTCGCAGCCGGCTTGGCCCGCCTCCCTCCGCTCCGAGGCGGCTGCGTCCTTAAGATGTAAACAAGGCCTCGCGCCGCGACCGTTAGAGGGTGAGGAGGGTCTTGCGCTCGCGGCGAGGGGAAGGGGGAGGAACAGCTTTTGGGCAGGCTTTTCATTGGTCGGGTGGGCTCGACGGGAGGGGGGCGAGTCGGAGGGAGCCGTTCGGGAAAGGAGCGACGAGCGTTCTGATTGGTGGGCAGAGCGGGCCATTAGGAGTAGAACGCGGAGGGAGGGGGTAGCAAGAGTGTACCTCCAACACGGCGCGTTCGGATTGGCCGAGCCGGGAGCATGGGCCGTGGTCATTGGCTGACGGGTGGCCGATGAGGCAGGGTGCTGTGTCCTGGTTGGTTGTCTGAGGGTGTTGTCTCGTGGTGGTTGGAGAGAAGTGTCTGTCTGGGTCTGTCTGGAGCAGCGGTGGTAATTTGTAGTTCTGCACCCCTGGGGGTGGAGGGTTGTGCATTGAGAAGAGCCCTTCAGTGTTGGACGCTTGATTGGTCGGAGTGTGTTGTTTGCAGGGTGTAGTTAGAGAAAGTGCATAATGTTAGCCAAGCAGGCCTATCCTCTGGTTTGGGAAGGTGAGGACTCAGGCTATGGACTCTGACTGGTAGGTAGCAGCTTAACCAGGGGCAAGCCTGAATCAGAAGAGCTTTGACTGGTAAGTAGTTGCGGCACTGCTGGAAAGGGGGCAAGATGACCCCCACCAGTGTTCCCTCTAAGCTGAGTTAGTGTGAGCTAGCTCACAGTTTTTTAGCCTCCGGCTCACACATTTTTGTCTTAGCTCAGGAAGGAGGGCTCCAGAACAAACTAATTTATGCAGTAGCCAAATTGCTCGCTCACAACTTTCATGCCAGTAGTTCACAAAGTAGAATTTTTGCTCACAAGACTCCACAGCTTAGAGGGAGCATTGACCCTCACCCGCCTTCCCTCATCCAAAGTGCTCTGATTAGTGGCTGAGGGTTTTCTTTCCAGGAGGGACGTGTTCTGGATTCCCAGACACCAAGAGAAAGAGAGCACACATTTGGGAGCGCAGGCACCTAGGGCAGGCTGTGGAGAATGCCGTAAGACATGGGCTCCCGCAGCAGCAGTAACGCCGGCTCGGGCGGTCGGGATCGCCAGGGCAGCTGGTTGCCGAGGGACTCCGGGGTCCTGCGCAGTGAGGAAGAGGACGACGAAGACGAGGATGTGGATCTGGCCCAGGTACTGGCATATCTACTGCGCAGGTAACTCACCTCCCCCCCTCCCCTTACCCCTTTTCACTCATTGTGGCTATGGGGCTGGCTGACCCGTCGCTGGATCGGTGTGGCTGAGGAGTGAGAGAGTTTCCCTCTTGGTGTGACCGCTGGAGGGAGGGCCCAGGAGGAAGTTTGGTGCAGGATAACAAAAGGGGACATGGAGGGGGAATTGGTCACACCTGCCTGATCCATTAATCTGCACAAAGAGAATTTAGTCCTCTTGGTAACTGGAAGCTGATTGTGGTGGTTCATGTGGAGCCTTGTGAGACCCTACTGGAGAATCCGGTTTCGGCTGAATTCATCCATGGCTCTTGTCTGATGGTGTTAGGATTTTTACAGTTGGGTGGAGAAAGAGGTGAGAGGAGATAGTCCCGTATTTCATTGCACTGCAATGTGATATCTTCAATGATGTGGGGGGCATAGTTGAATGGTAGTGATACTGTTTCATTAGCAGCACAGATTGTAGTAGTATATTCATGTTTTGATTTGTGGAGGGGAAAGGCACAGTATAGGTCTAAATGTGGTACAGTCCCCTGTAATGCTGCCTCAGTTGGAGGGGATCATACCAAAATTTTATGAAGTGTGTCACTAGCTCTGGAGGTCCAGGGTGGCTGCTTCCCTAAAAGTTGAGTACCACATGTTTTTTGTTTTGTTTTTTCCTGCAGGGGGCATGTGATGCCACACTTACATACATGCTTTAGGCATTACAAAGGAAATAAAAATTGAGGGTCATCATTCCAGCAGGTATTTCACTCCATGGGAGATGTTCCTTGATTTAATAAGTCAGCTTTTGCACTTATGATCAAAATTACAGGAAATTACCCAGTGCAAAGGAAAAGAGGAATGGGCAGGTGTGGAGGGTAAAGGTTGTGTGCTGATATGTACTCTGCAGAAGCTAGAAATGGCTCCATTCAGACCTTATGGGCCAGACTATATACTTATGTGGGAGATCTGTGTTTGAATCTCCTGGTGTTTTCTTCAACATTGTACATTCCGGTTCGATGTCCTGGTTTAACCCTTCTTCCTCTTCCCTTCCAAAATCTGATATAATTTCTTAGATAGAAACTGCTCCCAGTGACTGTTTTAGTCACAGTAGGAAAATGTACGTAGCTGGAGACAGCTTTTATCAAAGAATGCAGCCTGGGAGGGGTACAGTGTTGAACTCTGTTCCTTCAGGCCATGCTTCCAGTTCTAACCAGGAGTCCCTTGCAGTTGCTTTTGAAAGTTAAAGAATACCTTGGGAGAGCCCATCAATGATTGGCCCTGAAAGGCCTGCTTGTTATTTCTAACAGTTAGGTAAGAAGGGGAACCACACCCTGTGGGGTGTTCCGCATCACTGTACCCGTGCTTCTGATGTTACCTTGGGTACACTGCAAAACACTCTAGGAATTTTATCAAAGAATGCAGCCTGGGAGGGGTACAGTGTTGAACTCTGTTCCTTCAGGCCATGCTTCCAGTTCTAACCAGGAGTCCCTTGCGGTTGCTTTTGAAAGTTAAAGAATACCTTGGGAGAGCCCATCAATGATTGGCCCTGAAAGGCCTGCTTGTTATTTCTAACAGTTAGGTAAGAAGGGGAGCCACCCCCTGCGGGGTGTTCCGCATCACTGTACACGTGCTTCTGATGTTACCTTGAGTACACCGCAAAACACTCTAGGAACATTTTTTAAACATATTGCCTGCTCTTTTTAAGTAGATTTTGGGTGATCACACTTGGGCAACATGGACCTGTCAGATCATTTGGTCTTTTGATGGAGATTAACGGTGGCACAGTGGGTATATCCCACTGTCTTAACATCCAAACTGTGTTAGTTCGAGCCCCGCGCTGGTGTGAGCAGCCAGCCTGTTCTCCCCAGCTCATCGTCCACCCAGCGATTCAAAAGCTTCGGCGAGTAGATAAAATGGGAACCACTCCTTAGAGAGGGTGGGCGCACCAATCTCCCTTGTGGGAGGGTGTTAGCTGACGGTCAGGACGTCCTGGTCGAGGTTCGGAAAAGGCGGAAGAACTTCTCGGCTACAAAAATCCCTGCAGTGGATGTTTCCGGCCAGGCGGTGGCAGTGTGGCGATTTGACATACGGGTCCTAAAGCCTTGTCGACAAGCAGCCGTTCGGAAAATGACTGAGCCAAGCCAGAAGACATTTACACCGTGCAATGACAGCGTGTGCAATTAAATGAATATATGTTGTCGTCCCTATCCCCTATGAACATTGTTAGTCCCCTGTCTAAAATGTGTAACTGTACATCGCTTTGAGCCCACTGGGGAAAGCGATTAATAAATTGAAAGTATTATTAGTAATAATAATAAATTGTAGGGTGTTCCTGGTTCCCATCACTATATGTAAAAGTAATGTGGAAGTGGGTGGTTTAAAGCATGCTCTCAGAATTTCTGCCAAGCTTGCATCATTGTTCCACTTGTAGCTGGCATACACTTGCCCTGCTCCTTTTCTATGCATGCTCCAGTTGGAATCATTCTGCATTCGTTACATTAAAACTTCAGGATCAGTGGCCAGCTAAAGGGAACAGGAAACAAGCAAATGGTGTGCCGTTTGTCTAGTGTGAATGGGGCCAAATGGGTTGCTAACCTCTCTTTATATCTTTCTGTTCTCTGTTCCCTCCAGAGGACAGTTTCATCTGATGCAGGGCGGGGGAGCAGCCAGCGTCCAGGTGGTCCACGCGCTATCCGACTCGGACGACGACAGTGACAGTGCGTGGGAAGGGCGGTTGGGAGATCAGTATAAGCCTGCAGGTACTGGCAAGGGCTGCTTGTTAGGGGTTCGGAGCGTCGATAAACTGCAGTCATGGTAAACTGAGACTAGCAGGACTCCTGAGCTTGGTTTAGAAGTTTAGAGCAGTGGATTCTGGGAGTTAAGATCTTGTTATCCCTTGACTGGAAGGGATCTGGAATCTAGTGGGGATTTTAGCACCCTGAGGATTAATTTCTTTAAAATATCTAGTCCTTATGACTCCAAGAGTAGTTTAAAAAATGTATGGAGAGTGGATGCGTGAGGTATGGGCTGGGTTGGGATTGTAGGATCTCTTGTGCTTGGGAGCAGGTAGGGGCTGCCAGCTGTCTGGAGGGGGGGGGGAATCTTGTCCTTTTAATAAAGGCTTAATGGGATGTTATTTCCCTCCAAGCCTTGAAAATTTTTAGCTGCCCATTTCCACACATTAAGCCTCTGTTAAAGGGACCAGGCATTTCTCTCCAGAAGCAACTTGTTACAGCGACTATTTTCAGTGAGGAAACTGGCGTGAGAGGGTTAAACTCCCAGTCTTCCCCTGTCCTGTCCTGGTTCACTTACTTTTCTTGATAGTCCGTCTTTCTTACTGAGAATCCCCCTTTAAATTGGAGCCCCAGTAGCTGTGTGGGAAACGCTGGCAGAAAAAAAGACTGCAAAATTATACGCAGTCTTGAGTTTCGCTGTTTATTTCTAGAAATCGTGGTGTGGCTTCATCCTGCCCCGATCTTGTCTTCTCTGGCTGTGCAGCTCAGTGCAACTATGGGGCGGGGGGAGTCCTCTCATTAGAATTGCTAACAACCTTTAGGAGGGAAAAATCCTGCCCCTTTAATGAAGACTTAATGTTCTGAAATGGGAGGAAGGTGAAGCTTTTTCTGACACTGAAGCAGGCAGCCTCATCTGGTAAACAGCACCCCATAAAGCAGCATGGGTAGCTTGGCCTTGACCTCCTTGGGGCTTGGAGGCTAAGCAGAGTCAGCCACAGTTAATACTGGGATGAGAGACCAATAAGGAAGATGGGGCCAGCCACCTCTGCTGGTCTCTTGCCTGGAACACCCTGCAGAAGGGGTTGCCATGAGCCAGTTTGGTGTAGTGGTTAAGTGCGCAGACTCTAATCTGGGAGAACCGGGTTTGATTCCCCACTCCTCCACTTGCACCTGGCTGGCTGACCTTGGGCAAGCCATAGTTCTGATAAGAGCTGTTCTTGAAAAAGAGCAGTTTCTGCCAGAGCTCTCTCAGCCCCACCTACCTCACAGGGTGTCTGTTGTGGGGAGGGGAAGGGAAAGGAGACAGGAGACTGTCAGCCGCTCTGAGACTCCGAGTGAAGGGCTGGGTATAAATCCAATCTCTTTTTCTTATTATTTATTATTTTGCTTATGTTATTTGTAGTCCACCTTCCTCACAGGGATTCAATGCAGATTGCACAGAGTGAGTCACTCCAGTGAGCAAACTGGGGCGCTCGATAAGCAATGCATTAAGGTTGCAGAAATCTGGAACCAACCAGCTCTCTAAAAGATCGAACTGGAACACAGCATAAGTATTAGCATGACGTGTTAAGCAGCAGGATCTTACATGCAGGAAGCTGTACACAGCGGTATAGACCACACAGCCCCTAATCCTTTATCCAAGGAAGCGCGTGAGCATAAGAACATAAGAGAAGCCAATGTTGGATCAGGCCAATGGCCCATCCAGTGCAACACTCTATCACACAGTGGCCAAGAATACCAGGTGATATCAGGAGGTCCAGCAGTAGGGCCAGGACATTAGGCGCCCTCCCACTGTTGCCCCCACCCCCCCAGGCACCAAGAATACAGAGCATCACTTGCCCCCTCCCCAGGCACCAAGGATACAGAGCATCACTTGTCGAGTACAACCCTATTAACCTGTGCAGAAAGGCCCTCTTGAGTAACTCGGTTTTGCCTCATTTGCTGAAAGCTGGGCCAGTGGGTTTTTTTTCCTGATCTCCTTGGGCAGGCCCTTCCACAATGCAGGAGCTACAATGGAGAAAGCATGTGTTGTGGGCATTATTGACTTTTGCCCACTTGCAAGTTAGCACCGACAGAAAACCGTGCTGAGCTGAGCCCCTTTTCACCAGTCAGGGCAATTTCCCCCCCCCCCTCCAGGTTGTTGGTAGGCCTGCTTCACATATGCTCCAAGGCACTCTGTTATTTCCCACCTGCTGTGTTTGGGCCCCTTTGCTATCTTCTTCTCCCTTGACTCCTGACCAGTGCTCCCTCTAGGCTGAGTTAGTGTGAGCTAGCTTACAGTTTTTTAGCCTCCAGCTCACGGTTTTCTCTTAGCTCAGGAAGGAGGGCTCCAGAGCAGACTAACTTATGCAGCAGCCAAATGGCTCACTCGCAGCTTTAATGCCAGTGGCTCACAAAGTAGAATTTTTGCTCACAAGATTCCACAGCTTAGATCTCCTGACTTGCTGCCCTTCATAGCTGCAGGGGCCCTCTTCTTAGAGCACAAAAAAAGTGCTCCCTCTAAGCTGTGGAGCCCTGAGCTAAGAGAAAACTGAGCTGGAGGCTAAAAAACTGTGAGCTAGCTCACACTCAGCTTAGAGGGAACACTGCTCAGGGCTGTTTCTCCCACTGACCCAGGACTGAGCTGCGGCTTCCAAAACTAGCTCCGGGGTCTGAGTCTTGTCTTAGTAGGGATGGGGGATGCCTGACCTGGGTTTCCTAGGATCTCTTTCGCTGCTGAGACCTGCAGATGGTTTGACTGGGCTGCTGCAGCCAGCCTGTAGGCCCGGTTTGCAGAGGGCGAGGAGATGGCTTAACACTGAGAGTCAGGTGTAGTGGTGGAGCAGGGTCAGCAGAGCAACCGCGGGGCCCTCGTTCTTCGCCATCCCATCCACGCTTCTCCCGTCTCCCGCAGTGGATCTGGCTCCCGACACCCGCGGCCTGGAGAACAACGAGATCAGAACACGCATCCAGTTGGCGACAGGGAGGCTGCGACCCGGGCGGACCGTCCGTAGTATCCCCAAGCTGCTTTGCCAGGTGCCCTCTAGGCCGCTTCGTTGGTGGGGGTGGAAATGGAGCTGGGAGGGCGTGAGCTGCTTGTGGTTTCAGGAGGTGGGGTGGGCCAGTCTGGAAAGCCAGCCTTTTGGAGGCCAAGGGCTCCCGGAAGAGGGGCTGTGGCTCAGCGGCAGAGCATGGGCTTGGCATGCAGAAGGTCCCTGGTTCGATCCCCGGCATCTCCAGTTTAAAAGGATCAGGTCGTAGGTGATGGGAAAGATCCTGTGTCTGAGAAACCCTAGAAAGCAGTTGCCGGCCAGAGTAGACAGTGCTGACCTTTACAGACCAAGGGTCTGGCTGGGGAGGGGCCATGGCTCAGTAGAAGAGCCCCTGCCTGGCATGCAGAAGGTCCCAGGCTCAGTCCCGAGCAGGCCAGGTGGGAGGGGGATGTGAAAGACCGCCATCTGAGATGCTGGGGAGCCGCCGCCGGTCTGAGTAGACGGTTACCGACATTAATGGCCGAAGGGTCTGATTTCACTGTAAGGCGGCTTCATGCGTGGGCTCCTCTGAGTTGTGGGAGGAGCCGGTTGAAAGCTGGTCTTTGATTTGGAGGCTGGGCCTCCGCACTTCCCCAGTTCCAGACTCTTAGAATCATAGAGTTGGAAGGGAACCTCCAGGGTCATCTAGTCCAACCCCCTGCACAATGCAGGGAATTCACAAAT